AAAAAAAAAAAAAAAAAAAACCTTGATCATTTCTATGAACCTGCCAGCCAGAAAACCTCTATCAAATAATGAATTATATTCAGAAACAGATCTGACAATAGTAAAAGCACCCTGCTCAGTGCCTCGCACACAGATGACACTGGAGAATCTTAAGTCTCCTCCACACTCTTTCAGAACTTAAATTTGAACTATCTGTCCCGGAAGGAGGCAGCTTGCCCAAGGTCCTGGTGAAATGGGTGACAGGGTTCTTTCCATACAAGGTTAGACCTTACTCCCAGATACTCCCTCCTGTGCCGTGGTGACCATCCCATTTAATGACATGTGCCAACATCTGTAACTGTGCTCCAATTTTAATACTGTTTCATGTTTATCTGTAGCTTCTGTTCAAATAACATTTGATATAAATCTAAAATCCTTCTGAAGCTGGGCATTTTTTTTTTATCTAAACTTCCTTCAATACAACTTCAGTATGAATAGAAAATTAGGTTTGGAAATAACTCCTACTAAAGCATTAAGGCTACCCTGAAAGCAAGTAATGAGAAATCAATTCAAAGCTTCACAAAGGACAAATGAATTCCACCAGAACAGTTATTAACACCAACTGAGATTCAAAGAGAATGCGTGATAGGAGTGCCAGAACTAGAAACGGGCTTGTTCCTCATGGTTGAAATGCTATGTAACAACCATTTTTTAGAAACATAAAGTGGGCTTCAAATGGCTCTCAGAGGAGGTATTTCTAATGTTCTACAATGGTTTGTTCTGGGATCAGTACTTTTCACCAAGGAATTGGGCAATTACCATGAAAAGTAACAAACCAAGCACTACAGGTATTCTCTCCCACACAGATTTCTAAAGAGTCAAATTTAGTATTTTAAGATTATATTATAAAAGGTTCTTTTTACTACAAAATGGTTCATTCTTCTATGACAACTTTATTTTATACTTTTTTTGAGTCAATATTCACTCTGTTGAGATATCTACTATTTGAAATTTTAAGATTCTAAGTATACAAATTCAAGGATAAATTCTGAAAAGATAAAGCCTAAACCTACAAGCAATCATATTTGGGAAGGGGAAATTAACAACCAGCTTCAGAGGTGGGTGAAAGGATTTAGTATCATGCATCACTTGGACACACCGAGTTATCCTTAAGAAGCATTTTTAAGATGTACATACAGGTGAAGGGCCAGCCGGAGAGCTCAGCAGATTAAAGCACCTGCTTAGGCAGATGCAGGGACCGGTTCAATCCCAGCATGCTGTGCTGGCCCCAGGGCGCACCAAGATGGGGATTAAGACTGGGCATGGTGGCACAAACCTGTAATCCCAGCACTTGGGAGGTTGAAAACAGGGAGGATCACTACGAGTCTGATCTGTGTAGTGAGACCCTGTAGACCCGGTACTAAATACATTTAAAGAAAGAAAGAAAGAAAAGAAAAGATGCACGGGTGATCTAAAATTTTTAAAGAAAAGTAAAAACTACAGGCTTTATTTTTTATTTTATTGTCTTTTAGGGAAGGGTCTACAGGGTGTTCAGGGTCTCCGTACTAGATCGACTCTGGTGATCCGCCTGTTCACAGTCTCCCAAGAGCTGGGATTACAGGCCTGCCTGCCACCACACCCAATCTCAATTGGCATCTCAGTGCGCCCCAGGGGCAGGGCCAAAGGACTTTTTGTTTTGTTTTGTTTTGTTTTGTTTGTAACAGGCTTTAATTTTAAAAGCCCTTTGCTGTTCATTTTACACAAAGCCCTAGAAAATATCAAAGGGAATGTATACATTTCTAGTTATGTATCCTGAATAGCTACTCTACACATATTACTTTTTGTATGTAGAGTACATTACTTTCAAACATACACACATCTTCAGATATGCATTTATACCAACATGCCTTTTAAAATGCCTTTAGAAGCCCATAAATGAAAACAGATGACTGAAATAACCATGATGAGATTCACTTCATTTTCTGGACCAGATAGATTCACTATTATTTGTATATAGCACAATCGAGCACTGTGTTGAGCAAAGAAGCTTTTTCAGAGCATAGCTGTGAATTCACTTGTTCCAAACCAAAAATGGAATAGGAGAAATCCACATATTTCAGGACATAGTAAGGGTGTATGCCTGGTGGCATGATCTATTTTTAGGAGTTATATTGGGAAACTTCCTTTTTGAATCATGTAGAGGAAAAAAAGTAAGAGAAGAGTAACTACATGATTCATGTCACTCTTGAAATAGCTCTGCCCGATATGAACGAGGTAATGTCTTCCCAAGACCCTTTGACTCTCACTATCCTCAAAGGCTTGTTTCTACACTTACATACATAACTAAAGGGGTTTCTGGAAATTTTTCATGGATTATTTCAATACATTTCTTTTTTTATTTCAATAAATTTCAAGTCTGAAAAACAAAATTTAAATAGCTTTGGACATAAGCAAAAAACATTAAGGCACCAACAGAGCTCCATAATAAATTAAGCTAGCACTAGGAATTGGAGCACAGTGCACAGCTAAATCTGGATGTGATGCTCATAAAAGCTAATATAACAATTATGCCACCCATCAAAGTGACAGCCATTGATTTAAAAAAAGGTCATACTATGTAGTCTAGGCTGGCCTCCAACTCACTGTGTAGCTCAAGCTGGCCTCAAATTCATAGCAATGCTCCTGCCTCGGCCTCCTGAGCCCTGAGATTACAGGTGTGGACCACCATGACTGCCATATGGTACAACTGTTATTAATCTTCGTTTTAAATATTTTAAGAATGTTCTTTACCTCAGACCTACTTTATAAGAAAAACAGAAATTCCAATGCAAAAGGAGCTCCCTAGTTGTTTTTCTGTTTTGTTTTGTTTTTTAATTTGGTATAGGGTCTCACTATGCAGCTTGGACTTTGAGTGATCCTCCTGTCTCAGTCTCCCCAGTGCTGGAATTACAGGCATGCACCACCATGCCTGGTTTTGGTAGCCTGGGCACGGTGCGCCCCAAGATTCCAGGGTCAGCACAGCAGGTGATACCAGAGATTGAACTCAGGTCCTTGCATTTGCCAGGTAGAAGCTTAGACCACCAAGCTATCTCCCTAGTGCAGGAGCTCCATACTTGTTAGTTCTCTTTGCAGCCCTCTCTACTATGCTCTAGGAAGACAAAGTTATAAACAACCTTTCAAATAGCAAAAACAATCACAGAGTTAAGGATAATTGCTCTTACTTTATAATTACATTTAGAAAATTTGTTATTCCCAGAAAAGTAGGTTAAAGTGAAATACACTACAACTGTATTCAGCCTTCTACAAATCCCATTCTTGTCTTTGAGGCTCCAGGTTTCAGAGGTCTTGTGTTTGGCCCACTTAAGACCAAGGACTGAGAGTTCTTCATTGTCCCATGTTCATTCACACTGGAAGGATTTTGCTCCATCCTACAACAGTTCCAAAACAGACTGAGATGCCACATGTAATTTACTAACACTGAAAGTTTTGTAGAATATTTATACAAGTTAAATCTGTCCAGAAAACAACAGGATTTTAATAAAATGTTTTCTTTATATACAGTCTGAGTGAATAGTAGTAAGAAGATCACATTGAAAACAGCCTATGCTTTCAACTTCAACAGACCCCAAACTACAACCATCTTACCTTTTCAAGTCCACGGTAGTGACACTAAACACAACTCCTTTGAGCCAAAGAATCATGAAGAGCCTCTGGGAGAAGGGGCAGTTTCCGATGCTTTCCCCATCACTGCCAGCCTGTAAAACAAAATTAAACATTAAAAACAAGGTCAAAGTGATAGCATTCCAAATTACAGCAGTTTCCACAAATTTTAATGAAGAGGAAAGGATTAGGAGCTTAGCACTTAGGAGGCTGAGTAAGGAGGATCACTGTGAGTTCGAGGTCAGCCTGTGCTACACAGTGATTCCAGGCTATCCTGAATTAATAGTGAGACCCTGTCTCCAAAGGAAAAAGTAAAAACTGAAACACTACAGAAAGTCAGAAATACTATACCACTGACCCAGTCAATAATTTGTTACTTATGTTATATTATTTTCTATGTTTACATAATTTTTTTCTTTTACAAATGTAATTAAAACTGAGGCCATAGCTAAGTATTATAGCACACATATCATCATATAGAAAAACAAGATAGAAATGTGATAATATTATAGATCCCCTTTTCACAAATTATATCTATTTTCCTCCAATTTAATGTAATCAACCTTCTGGAGGTTATAATATCCCTGGACAGAATGGCATTAGAAAAGGCCAAGGAAGAAAAAGAGTCCTTAACCAGTAACAGGGGCCCCTTCTCTCCCCTTCCCTACATTCTCTGCTGGTATGGGGTCAGGAGGTCTTGTTAAAAGACTTCGCACTTCTGCTGAGGTATCGGTGAGATTACACGGGGAAGTGGAACTCTGATCCCTTCCCAGCAGTAATGAGGAGCCTCTGCACCTTGCTATCAATGGAGACCTAGTGGGGAACCTGGACCTCTGCTGTGCTCTCTCCTCTTTTTTTCCTCCCCATCAGAGATGTTTAAACAAAGGGTTAAACAAAATGCAGATCTTACATTCAAAAATATACAGGTTTTAACTGAAAATGCCAAGTACAACCAATAAATAAAATGGCAAGAACACTAATAAATGACAACATGAAGATTGAAGAGATGTAAGAATTATCTGACAGTATTTAAAGTAGTTATGATAAAACTGCTTCCATGAACATATCAACAGCTGGAAACAAATGGAACAAAAATACTCAGTAGGGAAACAAGTATATAAAGAAAAACCAGATGAAAACTTTACAACTAAAAAATGTAAGAGGTGAATTACACGGTTCTATGGCTTGGTTCTGCTACGGTTTTGTTACTGAATGCCCCCAAATGTCCATGTACTAAAGGTGCCATGAACCCTCCAGAGACTAGGCCCGACGGGAGCCTCGTGGACCACAGAGGGGACGCCTCCACTGCAACTGCGAAACCCCACCACCCCAGTGCTTTCCTGGCCCTTTCTTTGTTCTGCCACATGCTGCCAGCCAAAGTCAACCAGTACACCAACCAAAGGACCAAGGCAACTAGAACCGCCAAAACTGATACTAAAATCAACCTTTTCTCTTTATAATTATCTTAAGTATTTTGTGACAG